TTTTGTGACTAAGATGATAACTTATACGTTTCTTCGTGGTGTTCTGCTCAGGATGCATGACAGATCTGCCGATGGTGTCTTTCACTCAGCGATTTTAGCATTACTTAAGACTCGGCAAACTTTGATTGTTTTTCACTAGTGCTCGCCAAGCTTACCGGCTGGTAAGTCAAAAACGACTTCTATATTAGTTTTATTAAGGAAAAATCTCTAAACGTTTAGCTACTTACTTTCTCTTACTGTTTTCAATCGGTTTTCATCGTTTCAATGCGCTTGAATTTTCAGAACCGGGCTCTTCCTGATTTGCATAATCCGTAATCAGCCCGTGGGCATTACGGCTGCATAATGACCGCTCAGATCTCGCTCTTAGCCAATCCGAGCGCGCGTTATATCGGCCACAAGCCAAAGCCATATAATAACATTAATTAAAGACCGTGAACAAGATTCTGAATTTAAAACCCCGTGTTATGGATCAGCTTCTGTAAAATGGAAGACGTCTAAGCATGAATAGTAATTATGTAAAGAGTATATAAACGCAAGCTGCAATCATCATCTGAAGAAGAGAGAGAAAAATGTCAGAGTAATCGTTCAATCATTCGTTGGTTCTTTTTCTGTAATTGCAACAGTTGCAGACCCAGCTCGCACCAATGACAAAATATTAATTTCTATTCACCAACACTGTGTTGGATGATCTCTTACAATATACGGATCCATCGAGGAATAATTTCTTGTAAAAATAGCTGTGCTGTAATTATTGAGATGTCAAAAAGTGAAAGTTAAGTGTCTGTTAATTTGCAGCATCCATTTTGGGCAGCAGATATTAGCACAGTAGCTTGTATTGATTAGTCCATTTCTTTTTAACAGACGTATGATGGAAATACGGACGCAGTGTTTTCTAAGACTCAAGTCACGAGTTTTCACGCGCGCTATGTTCGAGTCATCCCTACCCAGTGGCATTATGGGATGTGCATGAAAGTGGAACTCAAAGGCTGTAAAGGTGATACTCATGTGATGACGGAGTTTCCGTCTCTAGTCTTCGAGTTGTTTGAAACTTTCTGATGATTGCAAGTGAACCGTTCAATAAGGTCTAAGAGCGTCCACACACCAGACGAAGTCATTTAGTTGTCACTATTTGTTATTGACAACTAATTGTGTCTGTTACCGCCCCATTCACTTCTTTGTTATTTTTTCCGTTTGTACGTGCATTCTTTCCGTGATCATCGCATTCTTTTCGTTTATCTCGCTTTCACGTTATCAATATTCTGTTAGGTTTTTTCGCATAATTTTGTTTTGTTTCAGTCCCCTTCTGTATGCGTTTTTCTAGTTTATTTGTGCATTTTCATCGCGACGCTACTGTCATCTTGTTTCATTTACCGCCCTGCCGCTTTCCTCTTTCGTGTTCCTTACCGTCATAGTCATACAACGTTTGTAAGTATCGTCAACCTTTGGCTCGTTATTTCTGTTTCTTTTATTGTATTCGTTTATAACTTGTAATTTATTTTGTTTGTAGCAACCGCTCCATTTTCATCCCTTTCTTTGCACTCTATCGTTTAAATTAAACATTTCGTCATATCGATTAAGGCACCGTAGCGTGTTCAACGTTTGGTGACACTAGTGTCCGATCCCAGCATTCCACTCATTAGAGTGTTAGTTGTCGAACTCCAAGTCACGTCAGCGAGACCTTAAGAACAAACAATTTTGAGTTGTCGATAACATTTAGTTTTTGATGATAGATAATTGTCGACAGTTTAATGTCTGGTCTGTAGAGGCCCTAATACAATGACAACATAAACTGGACTCGGTAATCATTTCTCAGATTTGAGAATTTTGTTGAAATAATAACTGAAAGTGTCACTATTGCTTTATCCGAGAACATTTCACAAAAGACATCTCAGCACGGTTTTCAATTGAGTGTTAAAAGTGATAAGGATTTGTTTGGTTTGCAACGCTTTTTGATTGGTTCAAAAATCTCTAGCCACTTTCTTCTCTTCTCAGAAGTAAAACCAAAACTAATCGCGTCTCGCTCATACACTTTTTCCCGCGCTTTGTGTCAACTGTATGTATTTGGTTTGAGGATTGTTTGTGTTCTTTGTGACTGGCCGATAACCACGAACACTTCTCACGATCATATAATCAAATTATCCTCTACTGCTTGAATGAACACGTTTTGCTTTTATGGCACTCTTTTGATTGTTAACAATTAGGTGACCTTTACATGTCATTGTTATCTTTCGCTTATTTTGGAATATTAGGTTGTTGCTATTTTCAAGGTAAATTACCTTTTTCTTACATGGCAAATGTATTTTCGCTCAGTATGCTCTGCTCCCCTGGGGATGGAGAATAAGGACAGTGAGGAGATCACGGACAGTCAAATCAAAAAAGCGCCTACGTCATCGAGTTCACATGCCAATCCCCGGCTGCGTCACGGTTCTGCGTACATAAACTTATACCATTGGACGCCATTCATTCAAGTTGATCTTGGTCCAGCGAGTAAACGGCTGACGGCCGTGGCTGTCCAAGGACGTGTGTATGGCCACAATACGTGGAGGTTTTACATGAAGTACAGTGAAGATGGATCGGAATGGTACAACTACACAGAAAATGGAGTGACGAGAGTAAGTGAAACTGCACAGTACTTCTAAGCTTTAACTTAATTTTAACTTGTACTGGTTGGGAGCGTTGTATAGGAATCCAACGCTTAACAATGAGGCTAACACTCTGCTGTATACACCGAATGCAAATATGGCGGACGACGCGGTCGGCACCCGGGACGAACTGCATGAGAGCGAGCCAGTCAGCTAGCTTTGATGTTTTGTTTTGACAATGCTTCCCCAAGAAAAGTCTTGCTTCGTCGTCGATCTGGCCTGTTTTATTTCGCTGTGTCTATGAGTTGCTATTTCTGAATGCCACGAGAAGGGATAGAAATCTTCCACCGTTCGCCTCCAAGGAAAAATAGTGGATCAATGTAATTCGTTGAGACGAAGGAAAGGAGTTCACGATCGCCGCGGGAACTAAAAGTTGTTCGCTACATTTCAGACTTACATGAATTAAGCGCGCATTAATGAAGTGAATACACGAACTCTGCAACGTGTATTTAAGTCAAGTCTTTAGAACAGTTTATGGCTTAGTCAAAACAAAGTCACTTAAGTGCTTCGGTGGCCGTCGTTTTACGCTCAGATCGTCTTAGCACTGGCTTGGGTGGAGACTCTGCTGCAGTTGAAGCAACTTCCGGCCTACACAGAGGCGCATTTTCTTGACTTGAGGAGGTGGATTTACTTCTCCGGGAACGGTGGTCGCCAACTCACTGGACTGCGGAAAAAGAGGAACAGACACCTCAGCAGGGGCCTGGCGTGATGGTGGCGGTGACGGCTCACTTGTCTTTCGTAGGTGAACGCGGTTGCGACGAATCACATGATGGGGCGTCTCGACCTCATACGATCTCTCATCCAGTCGACTTCGCACAATCCGTTTGTGCCATTCTCGCTATGCCCTGCTGAAATGGTTTTAGTCTTACTACGTACATCTCCTCTTCTCAAGGGGTCCAGATCGACAGCACCTCTGTTGTAATACTGAGCTTGTCGCTGTTTGTGCTGTTCGAGCTTGGCTCGGCACAGCTCGTTATCTGAAACTGCCTGTGGCGCGAGCAAATTTGCCGTCATTGGTAAGAGACTCTTAGTCCTTCTGTTGAAGAGACGCTGTGTTGGACTAACTCGAGTAAGGCCAGAAATGCATCTGATCCACTCGCTCTGCACTTTCTGAGAATTTTCTTGGCTTCCTTCACTGCGCTCTCTTCTTTACCGTTACCCTGACTGTGATGTGGCTGCTCGTGAGATGTTCAAAGTCCCATCCCTTCGCGAACCTCAGGAAGTCACGTGATGTAAACTGTGAACCGTTGTCAGTCACCAGTTGCTCAAGTGTGCCGTGACGCGTAAAATGAGCCTTCAACGTTCTGATGACACACACTAACGAACGAGATCTCAGATGGTCAAACTCAAAGAAATCACTGAAATAATCTGAGGTCACGCCACGTGGTCCGTATCATTTGCATTCGGTGTATTGAAGTCTTAGACTCGAATTAATACAAATATATACATGTAATAAATATCAGAAGTTCAAGACTTTTTAAAGCCGGAATTAGAGGGTCGAGTAGAAGCTCTCGTTAGGTCTCACATGAACGGCTTGATACACTTTAAGAGGACAATAGCATAAACAACGGTAACAATGCCCTTGCGCCAAGACGATAACAGCTGCTGACAAGCAAAATAATTACAAACTTACGAGAGCTGCTACGGGAGGGGAGGTTTTTATGTGGATTTGCAACGCGATTTCATTTAGGGTTGTTTTCTTTCTTTTTTGTTCTGTGTCCTCTTAGTAAGTAATTTTTATCCATGCGGAGAATCTCTATGACCGATTCAACGCCAATTTTAAACAGTCCATTTTAGTGCCCTGTCCCATGGCGTTATTTCTATTTATGATGACGTTGCTTCATTTTAGTCAGCTAAAGTTCATCTTATGTCATCGATCCTCTTTAATGATCTTAGATATTTGAAGGAGGAGAGTATATGGATTTGATAGCCAAGCATTATTTTAATCAGAACATAACCGCGCGTTTCACCCGCGTTGTGCCGCTGACCTGGAGTTATGACGCTAACATCAGAATTGAGCTCTATGGTTGCCCAGGTACGTTATCGTGTAGTGAACGTGTTTAGAACGTGAGAGAGGAGTCGAGAAAAATGAGAGTGCAACGTGCGATCCTAGAGGGGGGATTGGGAAGGAGGTTCAACTCTTTACGACCATTACTCCTACATTGCGCCTCCCTGGCTGTGCAGGCTGATTAATTTTTTTGAGTCCTCGATGTGATTACTACAATAAAAAGAAAAAAGGAAGAATATTATGTTACTGACCCTAATATAGCAAGAGCCGTTAACGCTCATCGCACAGACAAAGCCGTTAAATTGTTTTTTTTTTTTTTTTTTCAG